GACCCCAGTGAAGCAGTAAAATTAATGGAAGCAGCTTCATTCGCCCTCTGCCATCACCACACTGGGGGACGGGTTTGGGAGCCTCTGCTCCAGAGGAAAGAGCGCCACCTACTGGTCCAGCAGCACCGCTTACAGCAGTTATTTGGTTTGACTCAGAGGTCTCGCATCCAGGGATTGACCAGGCATAACCTTGCTTAGCTGAGGAGATCAGATAATACGTCTGCCAGGTGTACCAGCGTTATGACGGTGTTATCACTCTTTGTTGTTGTAGTCTCTCCCTGTCTGATAATTGGGTGGAAAGGCATCATACATCTTACTGCTGTGCTGTGAGTCAGCCTGTCCTACACTGTGCATATGCTGTATCTCACAACCGTTGATAACCATGCTGGCATTGACCTGACACCCATGGAATGTGTCCCTTCTCATGGGTTTATGCAAATTTTTAACACAGCTGCCAACATTAGCCCAAATCCATTAGCCAGTGTCATTTGCCATATTTAACACATTTCTGTGGGTGTTTAACTACTGCTTACAGAGCAATGCACTCACTCAGATGAATAAATCTGCCATGAAAACCATTGATTGATTCGTGACCTATAGCTAAACAGTATGTTGTTCAGTCTGAATCTTTATGTATCAAAGGCACAGGATGGAAAGATAGACCATCGTGTCCTGGAAGAAAATGATACAAAAGGAAACATTTAATCTTTCAACACAAAAAAAACAGCAAAGGGAGGAGTGTAGATTTTGTTTAGTACTTAATTCAGTACAATTGAACTAACCGACAAAGCAGAAGGATTCAGTATGCAAGGTTCATTGCTGAGCTCAGTAACAAGAAGCATTGAATTATGACTAGATCACATCATGTGCAAGGGTAACAAGGAAATCAGAAAAAGTGTATTTGATGATATTTCAGTCTGGAGAGGGTGACAAAACCCTTTCTAAACATTTCGGGTTCCATCTATCAGTAATACAGTCTGCAAATGGAAAATATTTAAGACCATGGTGAATCTACCCTGGACCAGTCACCCAGACAAGATCTCACCAAGAGCAACCTGGAAAATCATCCAGGAAGTTACAAAGAACCCAGAGTAGCCTCTAATAAACTGCAGGCCTTTCTCCCTGTGGAATATGTGTTTCAAACATCAGATAAAGACGGAACAGGAATGGTGTTCATGGTGGGATGGCCAGGAAGAAATCATTGTTCTCTAAAAGGAATATTGCTGCCCATCTGAAGTTTGCTGAAGAATGCCTGGATGATCTACATGACTCCTAGGAGTATGATCTCTGGACAGACGAGTCAAAAATGAAATTTTCTTGACTGCAAGGGAAAACATTTTGTGTGGTGAAAGTCAAGTGTCGCAAAAGCAAACCTCATCCAGACTTTCAGACTCGGTGGTGGAACCTGCTGCTTCAGAACCTGGAATCTTTACTATCGTGGACAGAGCCATGAGTCTGGTGTTGGTTCAATGATACCATCCATTCAACAGTGGAACAGTGTATTAAGACTATCATGAAGATGTAATTGCATTTGTGGTTACTTAAACCTGTAAATGTCTGGTGTTTTAGATGATTAATACTGTGATTTTGATTTTGACACAAAGTCATGCTCCTCCTGTCTGGCTCATCCGTGACCACGCCTGACCAATTAGTGGCAGGTGTACACTGCTGTAAAGTGCTGTGTCTGAGTAATTCGAATGGCCAACCTGCTTGTCTTTGTGTGTTGGTGCAGAAGAACGGCACCTCGTTTTTTAACAGGAACAGACAGAGAGATGCAAGAGAGTTGCCTCAGAGCTCATAAGAGTGATGGACAGTAGCTCCTCTTCTGATTTGCTTGCCGCTTTTCTTTTTAGTCAGAGAGCCAAGGGCTTCCTTTCCTGGAATTATGCCGTTATGTCCAGCTCTAGAAACTGCATGACCGTATTGCGCAGAAGAAACGGTAGTTCGCATGAACCATTGCATCTCCCTCCCCCTGTACAGAATTCTTGTTTGTTTTATAAGTCCCTGCTTTGAAATGTATGTGGTAAATGTATATATTTATGCACTTTGAGGCTTGCTTTTAAGGTAGCAGTGATTGACTTACATAAATCACAAATACTGATGTTTGTGAGCTCTGTTCTATTGCTGCTGTGGAAAAATTGACGCGTTTGTTCATTTTATTGTGTAACCTCCACGGCCACCAAATGCTGCTATTGTTTTTAAGGCATTTAAAAATAAACAGATGATTTGTGAATTATACTTGTTATGGTTGCTCTCATCCTGCGCTGAGACGTGCTGAGAAAAAGAAAAACCTGTCAAGCAGATATGTGCAAACTGTATCCAACACATAACAGCGTGTGACTGGTACAGTTAAGGATCTCAGCAGCTGCCTAATGAATTTGACTTTTGAACAGTAATACATTCAGGATGAAAGAATTGCAGAAGGAAAAATCAAACAAGAAATCTAAACAAACTATTAAGGTTTTTTTTTTTCTAGGGTATTGTGTTACTTGCAAAACTGAAAGTTTTCATGTTTCAGTTACTCAGAGCTTCGGTGTTTTTCCACGACTGTTACTCTGCTTTGGTCAGGAGTGATATTAAAACACAACCTAGCTTTTCAGGAGAGAAAAACCACTTCTGTTGTTTGGAAGGAAATTTTACAGTTCATTAGCCGCTTTATGAAAAATTTTAGGCACATTGCCTAGGGAGATGTGGGTTTTTCGGACTTCAAAGACAAGTTTAATTTAAAAAAGAACAGATCTGACGTATTGTAATATTTCAGCACACAGTACCATGTTTGTTAAATAACACCTAAAAGAATGAATTTGGGTTATTAACCTATTAGGTATTAGTAACATTATATGATGAATAATAATAATATAATAATAATAAAAACTTTATTTTATATAGCGCCTTTAAAGGCGGCTTCTCAAAGCACTTTACAGAATGACAACAACAATAAATAAGAAGAGTACACAAGATAAAACAATTACAGTATACAGAGGAGACCGTGGATGGTGGTACTAAGTATAGTAGGAGCAGAGGGGTAAAGAATGGAACCAGTTAAGTAAAACTTGTTCTAAAGAAGATTGTTTTGAGTCTGGATTTGAAGGAGTTTAGAGAAGGTGACTCTCTGATATCCTTGGGGAGACAGTTCCAGAGCTTGGGGGCATAACAGGAGAAGGCCCTGTCACCCATACAATGTAGACGTGCTTGGGGGACAGTTAGGAGACCAGAATTAGAAGAGCAAAGGTTGCGAGGTGGGGAGTAAGGCGATAATAGTTCAGACCGGTACCGAGGTGCCAAGCCATGCAGAGCCTCATAGGTGAGCATGAGGATTTTAAAGTCCACACGGAATTTGACAGGAAGCCAGTGCAAGGACTCCAGGATAGGAGTAATGTGAACACTTGCACTAGACCTGGTCAGGATTCTGGCTGCCTAATTTTGGACATACAGTTTGTGCAATGTAGATTTAAATACCCCAGAGAGTAGAGCATTACAGTAGTCAATTCGGGAAAACACAAATGTGTTGATCAGTTGATCAATGAACTAATTCCATATCCAAATGAATAGAATGGCAGTACCTTTACTAGCAAGTATAAATCTAAATATCATTCACCTCTGGGCAGCTTTCTTCTTCCCAACAGTAAATTAATTTTAAGAAATAACTCCTAACTAAGCATTGCTAATGTGATTAGAAAACATCTGTAAAGGTTTCACATACAATAAATATCCTTTTAAAAGGGAACATCCCAGACTCTTGGACTGATCACTGCAGTACAACAGGATCTATTCTGAGTCCCAGCTCTTTGTTGGTTTACATGCTTCCTCTTGGTCAGCTCAATCAGAAAATGAATGGAGGTTTTCATTTATGCAGATGCGGATAATGGAACAAGTAAGTGTTTATTCCATGCTGAAAAGAAAAGAGGCACATCATTTTGGCTGTGGAGCCTTGTTCAGGTGTGAACCTTCTTCGTGTTGATTATGGCTGCAATCTGTGTCTTCATAATCCAATCTATTTTAAAGGTCCCGCTCTGTCACGCAATGGATTCTGCGATGGCCCAAGCGTTGTTGGGTAAGAGCTTTGACGAATCCTTGGAAGGATTACATATCTGTTACATCACTACTGTTTCACTAGCATGATCTTTTTACTTTGTAATGGGTGAAAGTCACTGATCAGATGCATCTGTGGTTTAGTTGATTATAACAACCTGATAAATGGACACATCAAGAGAACAGAATATTTACCTCCTAAGTGGTACATTATGTTCCCAGGCTAACGTATAACCAGTCACTTGTCTTCCAATATATTTTAACCACTGAAATATTTTGGAGTAAATGCTCAGAAATGGTTTTCATATCTGATATTACTGAAATGAGAAATGTATGTATGAAAATGCTAAGTATTTTCACTGTTAATGTCAAGCCTATAGAGTTTGGAACCAGGAGATTATCAGGGCAGTGCAGTTGCAAATAAAGCAATGAGACACATCTGTGACATTGTCTATTTGTCTTCATAGATTTCTGAAGTATTAACTTTTCAGAACACCTCACTTTAATGGATGTTTTCGTTTTCTAGTTTTAATTAACTCAAAACTATTAAACAGAGTGTGAGCAAAATAAAAAATAAGCTGAATTTGTTCCAAATCACTTTGGAAATAAAATTAGAGTAACTTAAAAAAAATGAATAAAAGCTCATGCAGTTCAATCTCACTCAAGGGGCATATTGCACTTTTGAGACTAGAATTGGCTGACAATTGATACACAAATTAAAATGTACTGTACAGTGTGACTATAGTTTAATGTTAACTTAAACCACTGCTGTTTTGGTTAGGTATTGATGAAGTGCTCCCCTACCTCTGAGACCACATCTATTATTTTAATTTACATGGCAGCAGTAAAACTCGCAAGGAAATTATACAGTAATTTCCGTGTATTTGCCATAAATTCATTTTCCATTGTCTGGTGGCAATCCCATGAATCTGAAGCATACTTCATTAAAAAGAATTATTGATACAAGCTCATATTTCAATAATAGTTTATTTTTTCTGGTGTTAGAAATGCACAGTGACATTCACATTTGTAATATGTTTTCTGGAAAATGTTCCTTTGCATCAACCTTAATTACATTACGTGTAATTATTAATATAGTTTTTTTACTCTGTGTGCGCGTAATAACAAACACATACTATAGATAAACTAACATTTGGTAGTAAACAGATAAACAGTGTTCTCATATTTCAAGATTTTTCAAGGTTGTAAAAATACATTCAGCGGCTGCTGTTGTGCGCTTTTCTAACAACCAAATGTGAAAATTGTTTTGATACTATTCCTGCATGTAAATTACAGAGAAAATAAGTAGGTAGTACATGCCTAGGGCTATTAACAGAAATAAATGGGTATTACATTAAAATAAAACACCAGACTTATTACATCAGACTGTGAAAAGAATCAGAGAGAAAACTCATTAGCACTCCAATATTGAAATAGCTTTATATGATACAGTATACTGTATATTTTCCTGTAATAGTATGTCATTAGAGAGAAGAAGACAGTTTATTTTTAATTTTGTACGTAAGGTCTTTTAATGTGTGAAAATGTTCAAAAGAATCACTCATCTATGGTTCCTAGGTATTGGAGGGAATATACTATTTTGGAAGAAGTCGGAAAAGAGAATATGTTGGCTTTTAACCATATTTAGCCTTCTCGTTAGCCAGAGCAAGTCTGCGAATGTTAGCCACACAGCCAGCTGCTGCTTCCTGAAGAACCTCATCAGTGGAGCCCACCATGTCCAGCAGAAGCTGTCGGAGAAACAGGAAGAAAGCTGAGGTTTTCATTTGAAAGGAAAGACATTTTCCTTTGTAAAACTTTCTCTTTGGATAATTTGGTCCTGTAGTATACTGTACATAGCATAAATCAAACATGAAAACAATAGTGAATATTATATTATTCAATATATTCAGCAAAATGATGCTAAATATCCCATTTAAAACACATATACAAAAATTATAAATATAAAAAAAAACATTTTTAAGGACATCATTTAAGAGAATTTGATAATTATTGGTAGTGTTTTTTTAAACAAAACTGTGGATATCACAATACTTATATCTACATTATCACCATTTTTTCATAATTAGATTTTTTTTCCCTGAAAAAGTTATATGAACATTTCAATTGAAAACCAGAAGTACTTTGAAATAGGAGTATTGTGGACAGTTTAATGTGACAGGAAATCTTAATCTTAAATTAATTTTAGATGAAGGGTTCATCTAACAGCAAGTACTTAAAGCGCTATAGATGATAGTGCTTTATATAAAGTACAATATAAGTGTTTTGTCATACAGGTGTTTTCTGTATTAACAAATTGAACACAACCCAATCTGTTTATTGTGTTCCATTACTCTTAGATGGGGGTATATTACAGGCTTATATTAAATGAATTTAAAAAATGTTACTTTTTTCTCCATACTACATACATACTACGCAAACTAAAATAATTCCTTGAAATTTCAATTCACTGTACTGTAAATGTGCATCAAAAAAGTGAAAGTTATATCCTTGTTTTATGGATGGATTAAAAAAAACAATTAAAAAATAATCTATTAAATCTCCTCTTGTGATCTAGGATTTTGAATTAAATTTCTAAAGCTCTAAAGTTTGTTGTGAATATTTGTTAGAATTGAGATAAAGGAGGTACAAAACAAATATTGCTGATGTGGGATCAGCTCTTAATTGTACAAGGTTAACACTTGCCCTATGGCAATCAGTTTGACTGTTTTTGATGTTTAAATTCAGTAATGGTCTCTGTTCATGTAACACATACAGAGTGATGTGTTCATGTGTATTAAGATTTTCTCACAAAGCACGAGCTGCAGAGGGCAGAGGCAAAGGAGATACACAGTACTGCATTATTCCTACAAGTCAGAGGAAAGGTCTGTCAGCCACACAGAAAACAACTGTATTTATATTATACAGAATACCAAGGCACTCCTTGATTATGTTAAACTGTAATTATATTAGTCTACTCTCTGTGTCTGAGTGGTTTTTGTGATCAGTCAATTGGAGGAGCTTTCCACAATTATAGCTGCTCTATGTTTCAGGAGTATGTGGTTCTAAATGCATGCCACTGTTTTTGTTTGCTTAAAAGCTTTGAGTGTGGTGGTTAAAAAAGTTAACTTAAAAAAATAATATAATAAAAATGGTTCAGATTTGCAGCATCTTGTTTATGTTCTCCACAAAAGAGGTTTCTCTCCTCTTCCACAAGGCACCGGCCTGGCCATCACGTTTCTCTGGCTCAATAAGAAATGTTGCGCTTAGAATTTATTTCTGTCATTTGCATTTTAATTTCATGTTATTGGTGAATGCTATTGATTGTTTTTTTTCAACTAGTTTTTTAATTTATTATAATTAATTAAAAAAATTAAAAATTAAAATAGTTTTGCTGTGAACTTTATACATACAGTAGTAAACAGAATGTGGTATTCACTCTTCCTACCCCTCCTCGACAGTACAATGTTTTTCTTTCTGACTAAGGTACGGAATTACATGATGTTATGGCAGTATTTTTTCATTATTTATTCACTGAAATACATTTATTCTAAATAAACTGATAAAAGTATTTAGCAGTTTGTATAGGAAAAAGCCATGCATGGTGGTATCTTTGTCCCATCTAGCCCACAACCTGTTAATTCCCTTTGACTCAATAGTTTTTAGAGCACAGCGTTCCATAAGAATGTAATTATCTTATTAAAGCAGTACTGATTGTATTTACAGTTTTTAAAATATAGCAATAGACTGCTGTGGGGCTTCTTGATGAGAGTATACAGCAGCTCATGGTCTTCTAGTATCAATTTCTTTCTAAAGGAAATGCCATACAGAGGTAGGCTCATTTTAACCTTTTTGTCTTGAACAATGAAGGTGATTTAAAATCCACAAAGGCTATTTGATCACCATTACTGAAACAGGAACCCTAAGGCTGAAGTGGAAGCTAAGAAAGTATATACTGTACATTTATAACAGTTAATATTATTCATATGTACATTCATAATGCATATGTAAATATATCCTGACTCAGAAAATCATCTAACAAATTACACTGTAAAACAGCTAGGAGCATTGTAATGCAGAAAGTGGTTTACCGTATTATAAAGTGTGAATTTTGAAATTCAGTTAAGGGGAAACTATAAACTTAAGAGTCAACGGATGAAAATTACATTTCCCATAGCACTTCAATTATGTACATAAGTCATTGCCAATAAATCGAAGCTTTTATGGTATGCTTCCATATTGCATATAATTAAAATAATGTATGAAGAGCTACAGACATAAGTTTATATTTGCCATAAAGAATATGCTGCCAACAACAATAATACACAGTAATTACAGGTTCACCTCAAGAAACTGGAAGACAAACTAACATTATTCATACAGCTGTATTTAGGGTAAAACGTTCACCGAGTCTTATTGAATTTCTTATCCTAAAGCACTATTTCCTTCATAAATGCAACTTCACCGAGAATTGTTCACGCTATTTCATGGCATTTTAGCCAGTCTCCCTAAGGCTTGCTTTATTATTTTGATTTCTTTGTTTTCTGTTCAGCAGTTCTTAAAATGAAAATGCTAATAGGCTCCCTGAATGTCTGATGAAACTGAGATCGGACTATTGCACATTCACCGTCCATACAGCACATCCCCTTCATTCTGTTTGTCCAGTGAAAATGAGAACGACGTGCAATAACCATAGTTCTTTCTACTCCACAACACTTCAGAAAGTGTTAGGAGTTATTGAAGGAGACGCAATGTGAGGAGTTATTTTAAGGTGACATTGATTTGTCTATAAAGTATTTAAATTTGAGCTTCAGGAAAAGGAAAAGTGCACAAGTGGATAAGTAAACACATAAGAACAGGTAACAAATGATTCTGAATTTGGAGAGGATGACATAAACATTTATTTGAATAGTTAACATCAAAAGGGTGCAACACAAAACTCAACTATAAACTATACCAAACTGCAGTTCAAAACATACAGTATTAGGTTTATTATTAGCTTGTCTGGCTAACACTTTTATCCAAATCAACATTAATCGATTTTTACAGCTGCACATTTCAGTGGAGTAACCTGAATAAAGTACCTTTCCATACTTGAGGGAACAACAGCAGACACCAAGCCAGGACCTGTGCCCACAACCTTCCAGTTCCACACTCCTAACCACTGCCCCACAGTGTTGCCATGTTTGATAGCTGTATGCTCTACAATATCTCCCAATCTCACGAATCAGTCCTTTCAGTGTAGCCTCCTAAGCCACACATTTTCCAACAGTATAAGAAAGAAACTTGTACTGGCACATTTTGACCCATAATGGTCATTGCAGCATCTTAACAATTATTACACAGTTCAACATTGTTGTCAGTTGTAACTTGTCTAACTTAGCTTCAGATAATTTATTAATTAATGTATCATTTATTTATTATAATACAGATTTCTACATACCCACTCCCCAGTTAAAGGTGGCGATATAGTATTTAACAATCAAGGAGAAGCTGCTATTAAAACTGAAGAATGCATAATATTGCTGCCTATAGATTTCTGATATCTTTGTCATTTAAAGCCCAAAAGTGGTGTTTTCACATACTGTATATGTTTTAATGTGTCCATGAACACTGCAATGGGTAGGGTACATCAAAATGTGACAGTGCATGTTTCTCTTATGCTTTAACTGGAGGAAGTCTAAGTTGAGGACTGATTTTTGGGTTTGGCAGTGTGAAATTATGGAGGTGGCTTGAAGCACACTATTATACAACGACAAAATGCATTCTGAATTGCAGTTTATTTTGGATTTTTGTTTTGGAGCAGATTCCCCCCATTAATATGGCTGTGAAAAAGTTTTGACTTCCTAAAATGTCTGGTTTTACACTAAAGCACATGCTTACCATCTGCAAAAAGGTAAAGAAAGTGCAAAGTAAATGATGATTTTTTGTGAAATGACAGAAGAAACCACTGTTTTAAAGATCATAAGCAGTTAATGTCACTCCTTATTTGTACTGCAGCTTTTTTTGTGTGATGCACAACCTTAAAAAGGCTGCTGTGCACATTTATGTAGTTATCTTTGTGCCAAGGCAGATGGAAAAGACATTCCCAGAATTTTCAACTGAAAGATAAATACAGTGAAGAACAAAGATGAATGATGAAGCTTCTATCTATTGATACAGGCAGATTCCTGTTTGGCACCCCTCAATGCTGACAAAATATTGATATTCTGTTTTGTTTTACATTACAAATGTATAATATACATTGCTACAAAATAATAATACAACAATTTAATATTTGCGTCAATAGTGAATAGGGCACATGCATATTATTATTTACCATTGAAAATATTTATTGATTAGTATTATTTCTTGAGGTAACAAAGTATTTAACTCAAGTCATGTGATTTTGTAAAAACACTAGGTGCGCTCGTTTGGTATTTGAGCAATGCTATAAAAATTAAAATTAAATCAAATTTAATCAAAATTAAATTCTTAACAGTCTGTATAAATAGCTATTCCAATGAACATGAGAAAATCAAAAGATACAATGCCCCATTTGAGTGACGAAGATCGCCTGGTAGCTATCAGCGTGGCTGAATGCAGTTTGCCTGTGGGAGAGGCTGCTGGGAAAAGGAGATGTTCTGCTTGAACAATCAGGAGACTAGTCCAGAGAAACCAGCTATGAGAGGGACAGGCTATATCCTGGAAGGCAGAGGGTAACCACACCGGCCCAGGACCGTCACATCCATTTGATCCATCTGTGTAATTG